CTAGTTCAGATCCAAACGTCAGAATGTAGATACACATTAAATGAAAAAAGAGAAAAAGGACGGAAGTAAAATACAGAGAATCAACCCCCCAGCTGATTCAATAATATTTATGCACCCAAATGCTATTGATTTAATCCTTTATGTGTCAGGATCCAGGTCTAAAAGTCCGACTTGGGGGAGGCCTCACTCAGGTGGAGTAAACTGTACCCAGCAAGGAGCCCCGTGGCAATCAGAGTGCCTGCGTCAGATGAGCAACGCTCGTGTAGGAAGACACGCTTCAGCTCTGGAATGTCTGTGGTGGACCCCATGATGGCATTAATTTTTAATCCGAGTTTCTACACACTTTCAATGGCTGATGACAGTTGAGTACGAGTGACACGGTGCACTACAATTTGTTTAAATGTCCAAATGCTAGTCTACCAAAGAGCTTAAAGAGCATGAGGCAATCCACTACTATTAAAGTAATTAAGGTGAAGAGTATATACTACCAGACTTTCACATGTCCACTCGGGAGCCAGGCTCTCCGTTCCCTGTTCGGTAATTGGTGAAACGTAGGAGTTTCCAAATAGCAAGTTAGAGCAGCCAAGCCTGAATTTATGTGCATAAATACACCCCGGGGAGGGGGACTGCGCAAACATGGTACGGACTCTTTTGCTTTCAACCTTAACTGCATGAATTATTCATAGTTTCATTCTTAGCAGAAATAGAAATTACAAATCAGAAGCATCCACGTGATATTGTTAGCTTAGGAAGTAAATGCTGTAATAAAAAGAACTTTTAAGGTTTAATGTATTGTTAAAATCTGCCATGCAATAATATATCTTCAACAACTCTCACTGTTCTGGAGCTTCTTGGCTGTATGGGCATGAGATAACAGATACAGAAGAAAGGAGAACGCAAAGCTGCTGTCGTGTAATGCCCACTATTTACTTTCAGTCGTTATTCTGTCAAAATTGTGTTTAACTTACTGTACAGTGCCATGAGCTTCGGCGCTTTCCTTCGTAACATTTCCATCGAGGACGGCTTGTTTTGTCATCAGTTCCACCTTCTCAGTTTCATCCTTCTTTACACCATCTTTTCTACTAGTGCCTTAATTATTCTAGTTTTATGTATTTCTAAAACCAAAATATTGACAGTGTTTTTCATCGACGTTATGAGAGCAGTCGCGTAATAAAAATATTAGGAATCCATCAAACAAGCATAAGGTACCTCAGGACGTTATAAACAATAGGAAGAGCCTATGTGTTTAAGCAAATAAGAACTTGAAATGTAATTTAAAATCTTCCTTTTTCTTTGCGTTGCAATACCGGTTATTTCCAGTTTGCTCTCAGTTCCCTGGCGCTCCGGCAGAGTCAGGGCTGTCTAGCATCCAGAAATGTGCAAGTTTTGCTACGGTGTCAAGGCCTGCAGCAATACTGGGTTTGGTCCCACAGACAAAACTTTATACAGCAACCAGCATTTATGAATGAATCTTTACATTACCAGGACCTAAACATTTGCCAGCTGATACAATTTTTAAAAGCTTTAAAAAAGAAATTAGCACTAATGCTTTCTTTTTCTGTCTTTTTTTTTCCAGAGGTGTAAAGGGAACATCTGGCTATGAGATCCCTGAAGACTAAAGGTAGGTGTAAGAAATTGTATCTTTACTAGGATTTATGTGATTTTGAGTTCTAGTTCCTTTTAATGTTCCTATTTTATTAGAGATGTTGGATTTTAGTTCACTTTATAGCTCAGATACTGTGCAACGATTATTTGGATTCCGTGATCCAGTACAACCCGTAGTGATTGTGAGCTGCTTTGGTTTACCCCTGTTGCTTTCTCACAAGACAATAGCCAGAGTGGTTTCTAGCTGTTACATACATCAAAAGTGCACCCTAGGCAGGTCTAAGTCATCTTTTAGATCGCAATATTAAACTGAGGATTAACGTGTATGTGGGTAAACTACATGATTATGCAGTGGAAATCTACGTTGAATCCTATAGGGAACAATGATTTCACAGCAATTGGTTGCAGTCCTTGAGCTATGTACATTATTTCATATTTTATATTCAATTATTCTGAGAGTATTACTGTCTTTGGAAAAAGAGAGACTTATTTTTCTCAAAATGGAGATGCTGTCAGTAATGAGGAAGGTGATACGGTTTCAGGTTTTCCACATCAGAGAAAAAAAAAATAATGGATAGGAAAGAAAGATGATGAATGCTGTCCTGTCTTAGGAAGAGAAAAAATGTCCTTCAGTCTCTACAGTGGTGCTCTTGGTAGTCATATCCGGGTACATAAACAACCTCAATTTGTTTATTTCTGATATCATTAATTTATATTTTGATTATTTTAATTAAAAATAATGTAATCTGCAACAGTAAAAAATATTACTGAAACACATCGCATGGAATAAGATTCTTTTGTTTATCAGCACTGCTTTTAAAGGGTGAAAAAAAGGAGGTACACTCGTGTTCCATGCTCTTAGAAAAGAAATTATTTCCTTAAACTGTTGAAGATAGTGCATTTACTCAAGAGGTTCTCGAGTTCTTCCCTCTCTGAACTGGCATATACAGGAGATTCTTCCCTTTCCTTTCGTTGGGTTGTTTATCACAGTGCCTTTTCTTTAGCTGACTGGATTTTAGATGTTGCAGTTCTGCTATGCTGATTTGGTTCTTTGATTATTGTTTTAATTACCTCAGCTCTTACTGCTTTGAACCAGGAAGCAGAAACGGTGCCAGTAGTGGGTTTTACAAAAGGCGGAACGGAGGCACAGCTTGGGGTTTGTGCTCCCGTGAAACTTCGCGTTTGGGCCAAACGTTTAAGGGCTGTGACTGAATGTGCAGAACATCTGGGTTCTAGAGACACAGCAATACACATGTCAGAGGTCACCGTAACTTCCTCGTCTTATCCGAGAGTTACTCAAATATTGTCAACGTTTTGGTTCAAGAACAAAGGCTTAGGTGTAAATTGTAAGGGGATTGTATTTTGTTTCACAGTTTTGTTTTGGATGAGATTCCTTTAAACGTTCATTGGAGTGGGTCACCTGGGTGCCAGGTTCAGGTAGCACGCTCCCGGGAGGTCGCACCGTGGGGCACCCCGGCTGTTCCACTGAGCTGGCCAACCCTATGATAGGTTGTTCTGCTTGCTCAACCTCTCTCTAAATTGCTAGCTTTAAATTATGAGTTAGCAAGTACTCCTTTAATCCCACATTTATTTTTTTAACGTGTATGTGTTCTAGCATTGGGTTAATTTCTTTAAATTAATGGGGAGTACTATACCACCCACAGAGTATACGGGAAAGCAAGATACCCAACAAAATGGCAAATACGGATCAGGAGGAGCAGTGCTAAATGAAGAATAAAGAGAGACTAATATCTTAAAGCTTGCTGAGTCCTTTTTATTAGTCAAGAAAACAGAAAAAAATAGGTTAGAATAGCAAAATTATCCTAAAAATTATTAAAAAGCTTATCTATTTAAGTGCCTGTGTGCACCGTATTTCTAGTTACTGAACAAAGACCTGGTGATTTAAACAACACTGCAAAAATAATAGAGGTAATACCAATAGACTGAGGCAGAAAATATATTGCATGACTGCTAAGAATGAAAATGCAGGCTTTGTTTTGAGTAAAAGAATCTTAGTAAAAAGCCAATCTATTTTTATCATGTCATGTGAAAGAACAAAGCTATTTATCCATTTGGGCTTTGAAAAAACACGGAGTCAACAGATCCTTTGCAATGTCCGATGGTGTCTTATATCTTCTCTTCAACTTCCTTAACGTGGGATGCCACAACTTTTCCATCTACCACTTCTTCGACAATTGTCTTGATCTTTCTAGTTTTGGTAGGATCTAGACATCATCAACAAAACAAAACGAATATTTATCAAAGTGTTAAAAATTATAAACCGGCAGCACTCGTATGTGAACAGTTACATCCTTTTCCTTTCAATTGGCTTCTTGTTACAATGAAGCCTATGATATAGTTAAACAGAATAGCACGAATTATTTTATCTATAAGAATAACTTTAGAAACAAAATTTTAATTCGGTCAAGTTCTACCTACCCTGAGAAGAATCCAGTGATTGTGTTTGTGACTTGGACCCTGTCAAGGGTGAGCTTTCAAATGTAACTGCCTGCCCTGCGCTCCTAAAAGGGAATCAGAGACACACAGGATTGCACAGTGTTTGTGAGGATCAAGAGAAATTCCCGTTTCGCGTTGGCGTTGGTTATGTGAAATACTGAGCAGGATGGTTCATTCTCCTCCGGCAGAGTACAGCTGTATTACTCCAGAATCACGGTATGTGTCTTTCGGTGAACGCGCCGCTTGTTTTTACCTCTTGTTTCCAGGAGAGGATATCGCTACAGAAAATAAAACGAAGGAGATATTTTATGTAAGTTAGTTACTTACACAAACTCGCCATCCAGAAGGCGACGATAGGTTTCAATCTCCATTTCCAGGCGAGTCTTGATGTCTAGAAGTTGTTGATACTCCGCGTTCTGGCGCTCCATGTCAGCCCTGACCTGAAGCAGCTGAGACTCCAGGTTCCCGATCTGAAGCTGCATTTGTGAAAGCTGAGCACAGTAACCTCCTTCTGTTTCTGCTAAAGTGTCTTCGAGGGATTTTTTCTGTGTAAGAAGGATATTAAATTATCTCTGATTGAGGAAAGACAAATTATTTGCAAAGACAAAACCAACTGAAATAGTTTAGTGGGAGTATGGATAGCCTTATTACTTAGAGATTTTTATTTTTCTCTTGAAATACCAGTTTGAAAACTGGCCTTTGCTGCTTCACTGGATGTGAATATAAAAGTTCATCTACTTTATAACATGCTACTTGCAATCCAATTATATATATTACTGCTACTTGGTAACTAGAAGAATGCAGGATTTAATAGGGAATAAGTGCAAATCTTAAATCCTATAGAATAGGATAAGATCTAAGAGTTTTGAAGTTGGAAAATTTACTCTGAGTAGTTAGCAGCTTCCTTAGGACACACCATGGCAAGCTGAGATTGTAGTTCAATTTCCAAGCTCTGGAGAGTCCGTTTTAGATCTGTGATCTCACTCTTGCCCGACTGAAGCTGCTCAGTGTTGGTGGAGATTTCTCTTTTCAGCTCCCCACTCTGAAATGACAAGGAAGAACAGAGTGTAATTTTACCGTGCCAAACACTTAACTCATTTTTACCTGTGTTTTGCTGAGTTTGCTCTCTGGCTCTTACTTTTTCATTGAACCACGCTTCAGCCTCTTTACGGTTTTGCTCGGCGATGACTTCGTACTGGCCCCTCATGTCATTCAAAAGCTTGGTCAGGTCAATTCCTGGAGCAGCATCCATTTCAACGCTGACTTGGCCAATCGTAGTGCTTTGGATGCCCTGAAGCTCCTGGGGAGATTTAAAATAAAGTTTCCTTAATAGAAGGGAAAATAGTTCTACCAAAAATATATGCAGAGAAATATATGTGATACAAGTTCTGCTTCAACAAGAAGCCGTGGCTTGGGTGCGTCTTTCTTTCTCTCTTTCGCTTAGTAAACTCAAAAAAGAGCAGCAAAGAAACCAAACAGTGAAATCATGGAGTTCTCGCTGACATAAATAAGGGAATAATCTGTTATTTTGCAATTCAGTCTGGCTTGTTATCGATTCACAAAGAAAAAAATAAAACCCAAACCTCTTCATGATTCTTCTTGAGATAAGCCAGTTCTTCATTCAGGCTTTCAATCTGCATCTCCAAATCAGCTCTTGTCAAGGTCAGCTCATCAAGAACTCTGCGCAGACCATTGATGTCAGCTTCCACACTCTGGTGAAGAGCCACTTCATTCTCATATCTGTAAATAAAGTAATGAAAAACGATTTTTTACGTGGTTAGTGAGGTCAGGTGCAAACTCTTACTATGTACTTACTTAGCTTTTAATATGAAATCTTGATACACATCATTATCAGAATATTGTTTATCATTATGTTAAAGTATTCCACAAGGAAAGAGTTTTTTAAATAGAGAACAATTATTTTATTAAGATATTAGTAAGATTTTTTTGTAATGTAACTTACTTCAGTCTGAAATCATCAGCAGCCAGTCGGGCATTATCGACCTGCAAAATGATTCTTGCGTTGTCGATAGTTGCATTAATGATCTGGAATACAAACCATGATCAGAGAGCGATGCTATAGCCCGATGGCTTTGCAGCTCAGTATAGCTACTTACATAACTGTCATCCTAAACACGATTATAATATTACAAGTTCTTTGTTAGACTCCTGCATAATTTAAATAGGACAGATTTTCAACAAATCAGCGTGCTTCACTTAATGGGAGAGCCCAGCCCAGGTTTGCATGCCATGACTAGCTAGTTTATAATCTCTGAAGACCTTGCCAGGTAGTCTGTCTACTTCAGGGACTGAATTTGTGATGTAAGAAATATGAAACATTAAAATTTAAACTTTCTAATGTACAAGAGTTTGTAGAACGCGATTCCATCACTGCCTGCTCCTTTACTGAAGTCAGAGGAAGTCACCCAGCACTGTGTGCTACGGCTGCGGAACTGCCCTTCATACGCAGGAAACATTCAACACTTGATACCGGCGCGGTGTGACAGAGGTCATGACAAGTGCCAGTACCGTAGAGTCAATTTGCTCTTGGTTTCTGAAAGGAAATGGTTATTTTTATCCAAAAAAATTTACGAGATGAATCACAGATGTTAAATACATTGCTTTGCTACCTTGTTTCGAAGATCTTCGATTATGGGACAGTATTTACTGTAGTCATTCCCAGATCCAGGGATGCCAGTGCCGGGGCCGTTTTTCTCATACCACTCACGGATTTTGCACTCCAGCTCCGTATTGGCGTCCTCCAGAGATCGCACTTTGTCCAGATAAGCAGCCAGACGGTCATTGAGGTTCTGCATAGTTTCTTTTTTTGAGCCAGAAAGAAGGCCGCCATCCCCAGCACTGGCAGTGCCAAAGCCGCCTCCAAACCCAGCTCCTGAGCCGCTACCAAAGCCGCCTCCAAAACCAGCTCCTGAGCTGCTACCAAAGCCGCCTCCAAAACCAGCTCCTGAGCCGCTGCCAAAACCACTTCCCAACCCTCCACCAAAACCACTGCCTAAGCCACTTCCATAGCCGCCACCTAAACCACTCCCAAAGCCTCCCCCAAACCCACTGCTTAAGCTGCTCCCAAAGCCGCTACTTAAGCTGCTCCCCAAACCCCCGCTGAGGCCAGAGCCCGACCCAAGCATAGAACCAGCACCAAACCCTCCACCAGACCCCCCCCCAAACCCAAGTCCGCCGCCGCCGAAGCCCCCTCCACCGCTAGAACCAGCCATTCTCAGAGATCCCCCTCCAAGGCCGCTCCGAGAAGAGAAGTGCCGGGATCCCCCGCTGGTGCGCACGGAGTAGGCCATGGTGCTGGGGGCCCGGTGAGAGCACGCGCTGCGGAGCCAGGAGCTCAGAGAGCGCCTCGGCCTTTATAGAGGGCAGGCAGCGGGTGTTGCGGTGGTAGTCCCCACCTCCTGGGAAGATCTTTTAATTCTTTCTCTCTCGTTTGGAGGGAAAGTCAGTTTAACGTGTCCTGACCCAACTAAATGATATTTGCCAATCTAAATTGCCCATGGGAGTGGAAATCCGATGCCTTCCAGGTATTTGCTGTGTGAGGGGAGATGGGTGGAGTAGAGCTAAGACATCAGGACGATGTTTTGCCAAGTGCAATGAAGCACGAAAATTTCTTTTCGCATTTAAATCCTTCCTAAATGATTTTTTTTTTGGCATTACAGATTCATTGCTTTCTTGGTTTGGGGCTATTATTACAGAAGTATGCTTAAGTCAGTGGAGCGATGCGTTTCATATTGTCCTTCCCAGCGTGCATGTTGAAAACGTGTTTCTTTTCGTAATACTTCTCCGGCGTGAACCTCTGCCAGATTAGTGCTCCCTGTGTGTTCAATAAGAAGCAAGAAAAGCGTTCGGCAAAAGTGTACGACGGGGTATCTGGACGTTCAGTGATCTGCAGGTTAATGTGAAAACATCACTACCCGTGATTTTACAGAATATAACTCTAATGGTGTTTTCTGCCCTAAACCTTTTGTCATCGAAATATCTGTGTAATATGTGTGGCCTATACCAACAGTTTACACTTTTGAGCTGAAGACTAACCGTTGTATCTTCTAAACAGTTTGCTACCATCTCAAAATAAGAAAAATGATTCATGTATTTTGTGCTTTTTATAACACAAAGATCAAATAGAGCTCTTCTGGTTTAGGCACGGAAGCCTTCTTTTGAAGTTATTTTGGTAAACAGAAAATCGTTTTTTCTTTGTCCTGGCTTAATTGTATCATCGGATTTGTCAATTGAAATACATTCATTTTTAATTTCTATACATCCAAGGAGCACGGTTGCTTTTTTGGGGGGAGGCAGAAACGTATTATGAGCAGTAGATCAAAGGTTTGAGTTAAGCATTTATGAAGAGATGAACTGATAGCCTGGTATCAGTGACTCATGGTAGTGAAAGCAAAGGATTACTTTCTTTGGCAGCTGTTTAAGTGCAGTAAATAACACACTGGACAGGTGAGATTTCGAAAGGAATAATTTTTTGTGTTTATGTTGTCAAGAGGAAAATGTAGACTCCTTGGACTGAAGCTCTGGGTGTGGTGTAGGAGACTTGCACTGTACGGGAAAGGGCAGGTGTGGCTTTTGGTGCAGAAAGGGTTAACAGAGATGGTGGTCTTTCTGTCTGAAGGGCAAAATATATTCTTACTGATAAAATATCTTTGCTTGCTATAGTCCTTGGCGAGATAAACATTCACAGAGAGTGAAAAATAATAAATAGGATTCTTCAATTTATGTATTCATTTTTATTTATTATGAAATGCAAATCAACAACTTCTTATTTATTGGAAAATCGTTTTTTACCGAAGTGAAACTGCCTTACATTTGAAGTTCAAGTTCGGAAGAGGTGCACTGAATCAACATTTTAATGCATTTTGAAAAACAAATCTACTCTAAATGTGCTAGTGTGTAAGAGGAAAAAAAAAAAAAAGATTGCTAAACTTTGGATTGCAGTTGAAGTAGCGTACTCGATACACCTGCATGTGGAAAATTCTGTTTGGTAAAGTTTTGGTGTCCCTCAAGTTTTCAGACATCGCACCTCTCTTCTAAAAACTTTTCCTATATTAATGTGTTGGAAGGCACCGAATGTTGAAGTGAGCTGCCTGAAAAAATGAACAAATTCTCATAGTGCTGTCAGAATCCTATCGAGAGCTTGTTAAGCGCATGAGCAAATTTTGTCCCATGTTGTCATCTAATGACTTTGACCAGCTCAGTGCTTTGCAACTTCAGCCGTAAACATGGCTTCAGTATTTTTCTAAGCTGAATTTAGATTATTTAATGAGCTACAGTAAATTCATGCTATAAGTAATTTTGACTTTCTAATTGTTACTGAGCAAGTTTTTTAATGTAATTTTAAGACTTTGATCTAAGTAAAATCTAATATTTCAGTTTTTATCTGTCTAGGAAACTATACATTTATAACAGGCTGATTTGGTGGTTTGTTTTTTTTTTTCATCAAAAGTTTTTAGTCACTATATAAGTAAGCCCCAAATCTTGCACTTAAAAAAAAAAAAAAAAAAAAAAAAAAGTTTGAGAATCGATAGTTTGTAGTTTTTTAACCCTTCTGGGTTTTAGGGAGAATTAGACTGGTTTCTTTATATTAATCTAGTTTTGGCATCAGCTCCAAGAAGCCCAGAGGCTGCTTCCTCTCTGCTGGGGCTCTTTACATCTTCTCTTCGATCTCTTTGACCTGAGAGGAGACAACCTTGCCGTCAACCACCTCTTCAACAATTGTCTTGATCTTCTTAACTTTACTTGATTCTGGTGATGAAATGAAAGAGAGAATTAATTAAGTGCAGTGTATACTGACAGAATAGTATTACTGTAGTATTGGCAGCAATTCCACCAGTGAGAAAATAGATAAGGGCGTCTTTTCAGTGTACAGTTACTGTGAAGTTTTGGGGTACACGGGAGACAGTTTCTCTTCCTTTGAACATCCTGTATCTTACCCACAACATTATAGTGGACATTGTGTTGAGTAACCCTCTATCACTCCTGATAGTTTAGCTTCAGTTTAGCACAAACGTCTAGACCTAAAACCTAGGAGCAGTCTTACTCCGAAGTCGATACTTTGCTGTTAAACTAGATGCTTTATTTCAGAGCCTTGTGTGCCTTCGCAGTCAGCAGAGAGAAGCAGATGCTTCTGAGGCCCTCCAGGGGTGATTCAGTACTTCATTGTCGTTCCATGGGCTCTTTGAGGAGCCTGTGGTTTTACTTTGGGCACCTGAGTTACACAGATAAAACCAGGCTTTGTATAATCCCTGTAGGTTGTCTATTCGTACAGCTGATTGCTTTCTTGATGTAAGATTCCACTGGTTGATTATTTGCTCTGAAACAGTGTTGTTTTATACCGCAGAATCACAGAACAGTTTGGGTTGGAAAGGACCTTAAAGATCACCCAGTTCCAACATGTCACCACAGGCAGGGATTCCACTAGCCCAGGTTGCCCAAAGCCCCGTCCAACCCGGCCTTGAACCGTTCCAGGGAGGGGGCAGCCACAACACCAGGCTACTCAGCTCTAGAACAATTCAACGGGCAGCCATCAAAAAATAAGGGAGTTGTTGTGACATACCTTTGTCAAGCTCTGCTGTAGATACATCCTCTTGGAAATGTCTGTTTAAATTATAAGTTAAAAAAATAAATATATATGGCACTTAACATGTTGAAGAAACATCCCCGTACATTTCCTGTATGTTTAACCAAGAGAGGTTATGTCCTTTCATCGAGAAAGGTAACCAGGTGTTTGAATGAGTTTGTTAGATTTGCTAAGCATAAGCTACAGGTAAAGTGACTCTGCAGACTCCTTTCTGCAGTGCCGTGCCTTCAGCTCAGGCGGATAAGCCCAGCTTAGCTGAACAGGCAGAATCTTGGGGGGAAGTATCACTCTCTGCTTGCCCCGCTTTCACAGATGCCTGCTCCTTTTGCGACGTAGTATGGGATGCTGGACTACCTGGGCAGTTAGCCTCAGCTCACTTGCACCTCTGAATTTTTCAGTAGCTTGGCTGCTAGTGACACGGGTAGAGCAAAGTGTAACCAGCACAGGCTGCGGAACTTGCCATGGACAGCAAGAGAGGGTCCGCGTGCTCCTGCCGCGGGCCTGCTCTAGGGTGAGGTCTAGTGCTGCGGTGTCTAAACTCGGTTAAAAATATCCACCTCAGGTAAGCCCAGGCCTACAGAAGCTACAGTCACTGCAGATCGGGACAAGTCAATCCGAAGGGGAATTACTGATGCTTAACGGAGGGTGAACATCTCTCCAGCTACTCAGCTCACACAGAGTAACGGTATCGACCTGTGCGGAGCCCGAGAGAGAAACCCCACCGACTGTCACAGGCTTCCTCCCCCCACCCCACCATACTTGGAAAGTGGCAGATTTTACGCGTTCACCTCCTGTGAACACAGCCAGCATCTCCAATGCTGTTTGCTGGCGTAGGGAACCAAGCCAACGAGCAAAGCGCATGTTTCCTCACCCGCTGTCCTCTCCTTCCAGCAGACGGCGGTACGTGGCGATCTCCATTTCCAGGCGAGTCTTGATATCCAGCAATATGCTGTACTCGTTGCTCTGACCCTCCATGTCAGCTCGGAGTTGCCTCAGCTGAGCCTCTAAATTGGCAACTGCTCCCTGTATTTGGGTTAGCTGATACCTGTAACGCGCCTCAGTTTCAGCCAGAGTGTCTTCTAAAGACATTTTCTACAGCCGATGGAAAAAAAAAAAAAGATGTATTATTCAAGAGGACACATTTTTGTGTTAAAGTACCATTTTGTTTGAAAAGCCTCTTGGTTTCTGGATGCATCTGTGTAACTGTCTACTGAACACAGACCTTGCTTCAGTTACTACTTACCACGTTAAGGTTGGACTGCAGTTCTAGCTCCAGCTGATGAAGGGTCTGTCTCTGGTCGGTGATGGCTCTCCTTTGGGCTTGCAGCTCTTCGGTGTTGATTGCTACTTCCTGGTTCAGTTGTTCTGTCTGAAACGCAAAAGTGTGGAGACTGTAAACTGGGGACTAGTCATGACAGCAGAGGTTCTGGCTGATGTTTAAGTAAGTGGCTTTACCTGTTTGTCAAATTGTTCTTTGGCTTCTTGACGGTTCTTTTTTGCCATTTCCTCATATTGCTGTCTCATGTTTTCCATAATAGTTGCAAGATCAGTGCTTGGAGCAGCATCCACCTCCACATTAACGGAGCTGCCCACCTGTTTGCACAGCCTGTCCACGTCCTGCAGCAAGGAGCCTTGTGTTAGCATCAGCTACAGGGAACTTCCAGTCCCGAGTATTGGAAGCAAAATCAAAATCTACAAACATGAGAGTGATTCTCAAATAGCACCTCGTTCAATCACCTTCTAAATACTCTTCAGCGCGCCTCGTGTTAGAACGTTTTACTTATTTTGTAGCAATAAATCCTATAGCATAGATAAACATATTATAAAAAGATGATTTTCTCACGACCTGATCTATGGAATGAGTGTAGAAGTCATGGTTCCCGTTTGTATAATTCTGTGGGTAGCAACTCTTAAACCACAAACTATTTTTAAAGAAAACCTTCAGCCCTTAGTTTCTGGAGCTGGTCAGGCTTTGATGCCCGATAGCTTGGATGTCAGTTCCTGCCGCACACAGTTATTCTACTTCCAGAAACGATACAAACGCTTCAGTCCTGCACAGCGCAGCTTGAAGTGGGTGGCTAGGCGGGCTGTTTTTCTGGGTTGGATCTTTCTAATACAGTGCTCAAAGCACGTATTTTCTGCAATGTGACACAGAATTTACACTTTTGAAAAGCTTATAGTATGTCACAGAGAGGAAATCTTGGGCATATGCCCTGACTGAGACTTCGTTAGCAGTCATTTGAGATTTAGGATTTCCGTTTGTGTCTTGTCTTGGAAAGGGGAAATAAACAGCATGCCTCACCTTTGCAGGTCTGTGAAGCGATAAATGTAATGCTGAGGGTGAGGGAGGTTCTGTCTGAGCTGACTCCTAGGAAGTACCAAGTACACATGTCTGTGTAACTCGTAGGCACTCCTGCGTGAGCCAGAGCTCCTGTACAACCAGCAGAGACCAGAGGGTGTCCCAGCGTCCCAGCTGACCCGCCAGCAGGTGTTTGCTCTGCACGGAGCAAAGTCACTCTCCAGGCTGTGTCTGTTTTATTGAGTGTGTCCCAGCTGTTTGTAATAGAACCACAACCTATATGAATAGGTACCTAAATTCTGATGTGCTAGTCTGGAGCTGAATCCCACCTCAGGTGTAATCTCTCAGGTTAACCACGAAGGTTTCATTATTCCTCGTGAGGCTGAGTTTAAGTATGGCACCTAAAAAAAAATCTCTCCCTGCCAGCGTTTGGCTGCTCTCACCTCCTCGTGGTTCTTCTTAAGAAAAGCTAGTTCTTCATTCACACTTTCAATCTGTGACTCCAGATCAGCTTTCGTCAAAGTCAGGTCATCGCGAACTCCCAGCAGTCCGTTAGTGTCGCTCTCGACACTTTGCCTGAGCAGGTGTTCATTCTCATACCTGCAAGACGAGGCTTGTTTTGTCATCGTGAAAATGCGACGGTTCGATGTAAATGTTAGAATTGGCTTAGTTGTAAAATTTTTATTAAACTTCACATTAGAAAATGCTCACTTCTGGGCTTTGACACTAGTAGCGAGAAGCTTTCGTGAATAAGAGGAGCATGAATTTATGAAACGATCATGGAACTTACTTCAGTCTAAAATCGTCAGCAGCCAGCTTGGCATTGTCAATCTGCAGGACAAGCCTTGCATTTTCCAGCTGTGCAGCGCCAGTCTAAAAAGGAATGGTTGAGAAGCCGTGAACCTTTGCACATAAACGCACGCTCGATCCATTTCTGGAAATCAATTCTGCGCGTGGGCTTCATCTCACTTAACTTTAGCTGTCTATTAGTCATGTAGGTTTAAGCTGAGTTCCCCCTGAAGTGCACAGAAGGAATTAGGGTTCTCCAAAAGGCAAATTATCCTGCCGTAAAATAGATATGTAAATGGTGGGGAATGAACTCTCCGGAAGGGATCTGCTTTTAAAGGATGGGAAATAGCGCAGGTGAAAAGAAAGAGGGGAAAGATTGCAGGAAGTTCACAGGAATCATGATTTGACAAATCTGTCAGCTGATTGCTGTGGGAATATTTTCTGGTTTCAAGTAGTGACCTGTCTTTTTTCTGAGCATTTGTCATTCTTTTCTAAAAAAATGCTTTGATAAATACTAAATGTGATTTAAATATGTAAATTGCCATCAGTACTTTCACTAATTAAAATTACCTAAGGCAAATAGAATAGAATGAATTAATCTTGATTCAAGGATTTTTCATGTATGAGATTACTTACATCTGCAGACGCGTATCTCGTATTACAAATTACGTAAAAATGGCCATTAATTTATATCTGATCAAAATAAAGCATTTATTTTTCTTAACTGAGACAGCTGGAATTTGGAAAAGCTCATTTTCTACAATAGGTTATTATCCATCTCCCTGATAACAGCACTTCATATATTTATAGATGGCTATAAGATAATCTTACCTTATTTCGGAGATCTTCAATTGTTGTGAAGTATGAGCTATAGTCGTGCCTTACGTCTGCGGTGTTATTCTCATACCACTCCTTGATCTGCTTTTCAATCAGGGAGTTGGCCTTTTCTAGAGCACGCACCTTCTCCAGGTACGAAGCCAAACGGTCGTTGAGGTTTTGCATGGTGTATTTTTCACTGCCGGTGAGCAGCGCGTCATTCCCGGGGATGTTGAGGGGGACGTTCCCACCGAGGCCGGGTCCGTAGCGGGTACTGGTAGATATGCGGGTGCCGTAGCCGCCAGCTCCCCCGTAGACGCTCGGTGCCTGAACCTTTTGGATGGCCGTTTTCTTGGGGGCCAAGCCGCTGACACTGGGTGCCGTAGACTGGAAGTGGTTTCTTGTGCCCCACTGGAAGCTTCGGTTAGAGAATGCCATTGGTGCTCTTCGTCGTCTAAAATGAAAGGGCTAAATCTACACAGGAGAGGGCAAGTGAAGAGCAGTGTGTGCTCTGTGAGCGTTTATACTGTGTCCGGGAGGAAGCACAGGAGTCGTAAACCCCACCTCTGTTGACACACAGCGCAGCGGGTGTCAGCACAAACATCACACAGCGTCTGGCCCCCACACTCCACATAATGGACGGGCTTGAGAGACGCTCCCCAGGTGGTTTGGCTTGCTTTGTTATTATTCTGAATGGAAGATAAAACACAAACAAACCGTTGAATCATTTATAACGGCCATACTCTTTATAGTCCATCTGAACAAACAAGGAGATTCTTACCCCCGTGTGCAGTGTATGAAATGAAAATGAGGGGTGACTATATGTGACAAGAGACTTAAAATATTTATATTTGTGATCAGGTTCGTATTTCTGTGGGGCAAGCAACAGTTTGGGCCTCAGGGCAGTGCAGCACGGTGTATAAATTATTAGAAAGGAGGCGCCTGTCGCTACCATGTTAATTCATTTTATAGTAAGCACAAAGCGATATTCATACTGTAATTGGAAAGTGAATGTCGCTGTAATTAGCTTGTATTGAATATGCATTCATTAGTATTAGAAAGCTGTTACAAATGGACCTCCAGCTTTCAAAACAGTTGAAATTAAGCAGAAAGAGTATTGCTTTGTCCATAAATAAAGTAACGGGAACAAGAATATTGGAAATCTTCACCGCCCGTGCTACTTCAGGTGTGAGATGCTGAGGACCCCAGAGTAACAGGAGCTTGGGAACAACTTCCAGCCCTCCGGTGTGGCTGAAGTCGAAGCAAAGCCATGTCCCTCTGCCGCGGCAGCGTGCCGGGCAAGGAGGCGGCCGGCCTGGGAGCGCTCCCCTCACAGACCGGCGGTCCCTTCGCTCGCAGGACATCACCCGCCTCGGTCCGGTGCCCGGGGAAACCCAGCGATCCCGCTGCTAAGCGTCCTGGGGTTCCTAAAGTGACTGCGGGGTCTGCTTTTGATACAGAAGATGCCGGGATGGGCTGGAAAGCGGGGGAAGAAGCTGGCTGCCGAGGGGGTGTCAGCGCTGCGGGGAGCAGGTGCGCACTGGGACTGCGTGGGTGCCGTTCGGGGCACTGCACTGGCGGTACGTTCATGTATTATTAACGTGCAGGTAGTCAGGTAGAACAGTTAACCCCGGTCGCTGCTGCTAGCGACAACAGCTGCAGTACGGACTGATCAACCTCGGGGCAAGGAAATCGGTGGGACGAGAGCGGGACAGCGTTTTGGAGGCAGGGAAGCGTGTACTGGAAGCATCTTCTGAGAACACGTCACCTGGCTGTGAGGAATCAGTACTGCTAAGTTTTTAAGTCACTGTGCTACAGATTAACCTAAATAATATCGGATCACGGCAGAGTTAAGCTGTCGTACTGAACTGTTCTGGAAATACGCGTCTTCCAAACCAGAGGGACCAGCATGCAGGGCAGAACTTTTTTTTTATTTTTCCCCCGTAGGAGGATGCTGTGAATTGTGTTTGGACTTTGAGTGTCTTTGGGTGTAACTGGTAATGAAAAATATTTATGACACCTGAGACCAAAGTACACCAGCCATATCACTTGGACTGTAACTATAGAAATTCAAGGTGGGTTATCTTTCGGTCGTTAAAAATATTCAGACTGAGTAAGGATCGACTGTGTTAGTAGGGCAGAGCTTTCACCCTTAAAGCTGTAAGAGGAATAGAGCAAGCGATCCTGCTGCAGTTGCATCTCTTGGCTACGTATCTCACCGCCTGGACCTCTGACTGTACTTTGTGATGGTCTATTTAAGACTAAACATTCCGCTTTGCCTTCTTAGTATTTATTAAAATTAGTTTCCATGTTACCTTGACTGTATTTTTTTTTTAAACATCGCTTGAAGATGCCATTTTTTTCTTTTATTGAGCAAATGACAAAGGTTTTTTGTTAGTTTTCATGTTTGTCCATGAATGCAAAAAGATGGCATCAAAGGTCTAGACGGGCTTTTGTGGGGCAAATTCCTAATCTTTGTATTTACAACTATCCCGCCTGCCTGTGAAGAAGCAGCTACGTAGTGTAAATATCAACAGCTAACTGTGTGTTGTTAAATTACTGTCAGGTGTTCGAAATTTACAGGAGCTGGATAATATTTAGAAATGTGAGAGTAATATAAAAGTACATTGCAGATTGATAGAGAAGTAAAATTCACCGACACATAAAAACGACTAAACTTTTTTCTAACTTCACCTTATACGGTGATCTGGACATGGGGCCTGGGTCAGACATCTTGTGCTCTGGCTCTGCTACTTTCCGTCAAGCTGAACCTTCAGCAATTATTTTTCTTCCGGAATTGTCTTGACTGGCAAGCAGAAGTATTCAAGGCGTGTTCAATGCAACTGGAAGCACAGAGCAACTGCATCATGCAGACCTAGCGTGAAATGACGTTGGGCTGAATTTTCTACAGCGTTCTGTCTGTTTTCTTCTCCAAATCATTTACTGACAGTTTCTTGGGTCTTATCATTTTAGATATGCTTCTATTAAAAAAAACACAAACAAACACAACAAAACTGGAGTATTTACAAGATTATTTACTAAGATCAGAGGTGGGTTTTGGTCGTGGTTTTTGGTTCAATACAGTTTTCTTCTATGGGTTGTACCTGGAATTGTCTAAATCCCTGGAAGCTGCGAGAGTGAACGCCGCAGCCGGTGTCTGTACCAGTAAGTGAAACAAAGGCAAGGCCCGTAGACTGGCTGAGGGCGTCACGTCCCCAGAGCCGTCCAGCTGTCAGCTGGGAGTGGTCACAGCCACCACTACCTCTTGAACTATGCCCAGGCATTATCTGGGAGAATACAGGCTCCCTTATTTTTTAATTTTTTAAATTTTATTGGTTGCAACAGTAAGTTATCTAAATAGATGTTGAGCAACCTAAAAATACATTATCTGATACCTGCAGTTTTGATCAGTTAAGGAAGTGCTGTTAACACTTTGCTGATGCTTTAGGTCAGCCGTGCAGTTTCCAGCTCAAGATTCCGTGGTGAAGGCGCTGCAGGGGACGGGCTGTGGATTCGTGCGTAGCATTCCCTTTCAGTGACGTGCGCGGTTGGGATGGTTCGTGTGTACTCAGAAAAAACCCTTCAGAGCCACTCTAATAAAATGTCTGATTTCATGAAGAAATCTCGTCTGTGTGATAGAAGCTTAATGTATATTAGAGAGCAATGAAGATAAGTCGGGCAGGGCTACGATAACGTGTGCATGCCATTTCGTGTTACTCACTCTGCTAGCCAGTCACGGGTAACCAGTCTTGACAGTTCAAGGAAAAAAAAAGACACACCCAGCCGTGGCTCTGCATTTATGCCGCCTTTAGGTGGAACACAGGCTTTTCTTTTTGGCTGACTTAAAGATTTAAATCAAGAAAAGTCTTTTAGTTCGGTCTTTAGTGGTGATCCATTCTAGGAGTGAAAGCCAATGCCCCTTTACTCGTCGCTGTAACGGTGTTGCTGATCTCAGCTTGGATTTTGTGTCCTAAAAGTTTGAATCTGAAAGATCTGTTAGAGTCCTAAAAGGACTTCCTCCGTACAAAGCGCGTTCAGGGAAGAGCAATTCCCTGTTCAATGTTCCAGCCACATTCCAATATTCAATATTTCTGTGTCTGAGAAATTCCCCCCCTGCCTCCTCAACCCACTTGCGAGAAGAAATGTCTTCCTGATTTAAACCATGCAACTGGTTTACAACCGAGGGAACCAGTTGCAAAATGAGCTTCCAGAGGAAAATTTGAGTCAATTTTTAACATAGATGTGAGGCAGTAGCAGATTTTAAATTGAGATTTTTCTGAATGAGTGGAAAAAAAAAAAAAAAGTACTTAGGACAATTCTCCACCCGGAAAACAAACTGTCTTTGCGCTATTTGTTAGTGCAAATGCTGCGCCCTTGAAGATTGCTCTCTCCAAAGAATAAAAAAAGCTGTTCTGCGTTTCTCTGAATGTGATCAGATGAGAGAAAGGTCCAGGTGGTGTCACTAACTCAACCGGATTCACTTAAGCCCGGAACATTTGCAGCACAAGATCTTACGTTGTTTTCCCCACGTATATACTTTTTTCTTCATTTCCCTCTCCTTTTAACCTTTTTGTCAGTGAAAATATCTTAATTATCAAATCGTTACACCTTATTTATTTCTGCTTTGAGCTTTTGACCAGAGAGGTAAATTTAAAACATTACTTTAAACAGGACGATACTCGAGTGTTCCAGAGCTTGGGGTGGTGCACGGGACAACGTGTCGGTTACGTCTTTCCCCAACAACAGGTTGGAAATGAAAGTCGGGAGCTGCTTTTCCTGCCTCAGCGCTCCGCGCAAATAGAATCAGATTTCAGCGCCAACAATAACAGCTCCAGGCCATACAAATGAACCTTCTCTTTTCTTTCTCCCCTAAAAGTGTCATTAATATTAGTTCTAATATAATCTAAAAGACTACCAGGCAGGTCTTTTTCCCTTGTAAAAATGATGTGGAACTGAGGCGTCAGTGAGATGAGAATACGTGGAGAATATTTCAGCTTGCTAGTTTTCTCAGTTCCATAACGCTGGAATAGTTTGTTATCCATGAGAAAATATTACATAACTGTATGATTCAGTAAGCAAATACAGTTTTCATGGCCCAGTGCAAATATACGCTCACACTGATAGTCCACCGTAAGAGATCCGTACAAACACCGTGCAGCACGCATTCACATCTGTGTAGTTTTTTTCTTTTTGCTAGCTTTCAAAAAAAAAAAATCCTTGTGCTTTCAGGGACCTGACTTCTATAATGCTTGGAACCCCCAAACCCGGAGAATTTTTTATTTTTTATTTTTTTTTCCCCAAGTTGCACTCCTCACTGTCAGGAATTGCCTGGGCAGTGGCACGACGGCAGCTTTCGGTTTGGGAGCGCCCTGGTGGATGAGCCCCTCTGCCATCTGGGAGGTCCGTTGCAGTGACCGCCTGGCACCCCCTCTCCCAGGGCCTGTCTCACCAGCCGCAGGCTGCGGGATGCTCGCTTCGGGAGAAGGAACCCGAAATACTCTCCCAGCTTCGGGATCTGGGTCAGGCAATTGGGTATCAAAAAAATTAAAAACAAAACAAAACAAAACAAAACAGGCCAAACCCACACCTCGGTACTGCCCTGGCGAA